GTCGACTGAAGTCAACGGTCAAACTTTGACCCGACTCGTCAAGTGCACATGGGCGACTCGGCGAGTCCATGTGGGTCCTCAGAATCCTTCTAGCCTCATTTGGCACGTGGAGTCATCCCTTCACTCGACGGGTTACACCTGTCACGAATCGCGGGGCAACCCCGACTCGACTCGTCGAGTCCACTTATGAACTCCGCGAGTAGCGTCCATGGCAACACTCAAATGACCTTTTGAGGTCAGATCCGCTTCTCTAACCTATAGATCTGCCCTCCCCATTTCATAATAATCACGTAAAGGTCCGACCTTTACACTCATGCAACACACATAGGGCACTCTTTGGTGAAATCATCTCTAAAAAGGCAACCTAAGATCATTTCTTCCATGGAACAACATAAAGCAGGTTGGATAAGGCTCTTTGGACCTCTAAAGGTCCAGATCCAGAGTCTAGCACTCAAAGGGACAATATACTCATCATTTCAAGCCAATAAAAGGGTATAGAAAACCCTAAATTCAAGGATCTCATACTACACAGAAGAAGGGATCGATTTACTACCTCAAAGTTGCAGATCCAAGCTGGAAATCCACAGAATAGCAATCCCCTTGACCTCCTCTTGCTGGAACCACCTTCTTCTTTGCAAAATCACACTAATAAGGATCAAAAAAGGCTCTCTCACTTATACCACTCGTTCAAGCTCTCTAGGGTTTCTCTCTCTGGACTGGTAGCCGCAATTGAGGGCTATAAGGACCCTTAAATAGGGCACAGGCCCAAAGATTTAGGGTTTCTGTCCACAGCGCGGACTCGTCGAGTCCACCCATCGACTCGTCGAGTCCCTTCATTAATCCAGTCAGCAAATCGTGATCCTACTCGACGAGTTTAGGTGCCAACTCGTCGAGTCCCTCCTCATAACTCAAAATAAACGAATAACATAGAATACCTGGGAATCCGGATGTTACAACAACACCAATAAGTGTCACAGTGTTGAAACCTCACCCTACACTATCCACTTGCAGAACAAGTTGCTACCCCATAACACATATATACTCAGAACCTGATCATATAACTAACAAAACCCATACAAAGTCTTCAGCATATTCCATCAGCATGTTCAATACTTGGGGACATACCTACTGATTGCTATAGCGTAGCAGCATAATCATTACGTGTACATAGATCTACAATAACATACAGAGTCTTCAGAATGACTGGACCGCCTCACCAGGCCTTGAGTCTATCTGGACCACTCTCAGAACCGTCAGCATGTCTGGACCGCCTCTCTGGGCCTTCAGCCTGTCTGGACCGTTCTCCGAGCCTTCAACCTGACTTATACGCCCCACCTGCCTTCAGTCTATCCGTTCCGCTCTAAACTGTTGAGCATCTCCCTGGACCACCCCTCCTGGTGATCTTTCCCATGCATAAGGTTCTCACCCACTTGGGGTTCCGAACTCCTGATCCATTCCGTGGACTCCAACCCCGGACTTACCCTAGGCCTCATGTCGATCGTCCACCCTCTCAGAAATTCGTGGTCTGTTCCCTGACCCGCGTGTCTACCACATACGCTAAATAACCTACATACTCGTGCTGAAAGTACTACCGAGCCCTGGCAGCTAACAAAACCCTCAATCTATAAATCCAAAAACCCTCAGGGTCAAGCACACCCTCAACCGAATACTCGAACTGAACTCAATTCGTGACTAGAACTCCAACCTGGTTCCCAACTTCTGCTATTAAGCACCAAGAAGACATGTTTCTTATGCTGGGGTGTTTTACCGAACTCCCAACCAACACAACCCTCAAACCAAGCAGCCACTGGGGCCTCCATCCTCCCTGGCGAGTTGTGAAACTCATCCCTGTTTCAAAACCTTTCCCGCTTCTGCATCCTGGGGTAACTCTCCCCCACTTAGATTCGACTAAGCCTACACAATACATGAAAATTGGAGGATTCCCAATCCTTCTCATTTCCAAATGATTGATCCAATGACAACCAACTCTTTCTAACTAGCGCTCCATACTAGTCAATCCCAATTGATCACACACTTCTAAGAACCAAATGAACACTTCCTGAATCCCAGAGAACCCGACAATCACTAATGCTTGAATGACTGTAACATCCCGTATATTAAATAAATAAAGGGATAAGAGTTGATATGAATAAAAACCCTAAAAATAATTAAGAATTTAGCAAGGTTTTGGTTTCGAGGAGTTAACCGTAATAATTTTAGAAGTAAGGGGTTAAAAGTGTAAGTTCCGTAGTGGTTTGTAAATATTTATGATGGCGGGGGTTGCTTGGTAAATTATAGGGACTAAATTTGAATAGATTTTGGGAACCAAGGGCTAAATGGTAAATTTTGTATTCAATTTGTAAAGAATTCTGAGGGCAGGGACTATTTGGTAAGTTTTGGACTTAGATTTTAAACAAAATCGTGAGGAGGGGCTGAAGTTGGATATTTGGGTGGAAGTTTTAATGAACACGGGATTGGCACCTGGTGATCTATCTTTCCCGCCATAAGGTCGTTCCCCCCAAAAACCGTAACCCTAAAATGTGTTAGCCGCCACCACCTTGGAAGTGTTCTTCAGCTACCGCCCCTGCCGTGATCGAGCACCACTCCCCGCCAGCAACCGTTTCGCCGCCAAAGATCGCAACCCTATGTCGAAGACGTCGTGGTAGTTGAAGGAACCACCGAGTCCGAGGGTGAAGCATGGATGCGTTGCTTTTTTTGGAGTGTGCGAAGGGGGAACCATCGGTAAGACTAAACACCAACCACCTCCTCTCTCTTTTGTTCTCGCTGTGCATGTGACGTTGTGATCAGCGACAGTGGTCGCCGGTGGCCTTAGGTCGCCGCTTCCATGCCTTCAATTGTCGTCTGCCGCCCATGAGGCTGAGTTATATGTGTTTGTGTGTGTGGATCACACCTGTGAGCGTGTTCATAGGTTTGCACGGTTGAAAAATCAAAAGAGACTGCCACCACCACCACCGTGAGGTGGTGGCTGCCACCCATTTTCGTATTTCTGCCTCTCTTTCCGCCACCAACCACCGTGGGTGGTGGCTGTGTGTGCATGTTTATGATGTGTGGGTTATTATGCATCTCATTGGGAAAGAACCACCACCACCGCCATTGGAAATGGTGGTTGCCGCCGCCTGCCGCCGTGAGCAGCCGCCGACCACCACTGCCCGACGTGGCAGTGGGTGGTGCCCGGCCTAGTGGAACCCTAACTGACCAATTGCTTGTTAATTGGACTGGTCTGGTTCGTTATTGGGCTAGAAACCCTAATTAGGGTTTAGAAAACCCTAATTTTGGGTTTGTTGGTTTGGGCCTATTGGGACCCGCATTTGGACCAGTGGACTGAAGATATAACTCATGACGATTCTATTGCATGATGGCCTAGAGGAATAATGGACTTAATGGGTTAAGTCCTTAATGGGTTAAGTGAGAAACACTTAACCCTAATAGTCATTTTATGTGAAAACCCTAAATTTGTTGGGCCTTGTGTTGGGCCTTTCTTTTGGGCTTTGGTGATTGGGTTATTGATGGGCTATCCAAGAGCAATCATGTGGACTAGAATATTTAGATGGGATTTAGGGTAAGGCCCATATGAGGGTTTGGGCCCAATTTGGAAAATTAGGCCATAGTTGGGCCATTAGAGGACTTTTTGTGGACCCATTTGGTATTGGGCCTTGGTGGGCCCATTGGGCTTGGATTATTTATGGACCGGATTGGTGGACATATTTAGACCTAATAATGTGAAGGTTGGTTTTAGATCCTAATGGGGTTATTTGTGGGTTTGGCTTACTGATAGAAGCCAGAGTGTAGCAGCAGCATTTATAGGATCTGTTTGCCATTCGAGGTGAGTCTTTTCACTATACTTACCTGTGTTGTAATTTGTGTGTGACCGGAGGATCTTATTCTTGTTGATGACTGGGGGGTCGTATCTACACTATTGACCGGAGGGTCTTAGTATATTATTGACTGGAGGGTCACTGTACGTTGTAGACCGGAGGGTCTTACTACATTATGGACCGGAGGGTCTTGTTTGTTTATAATGTGATATGTATTATCGTGCATACTGTCTTTGTGACTTATGCTGTTATAGTAATCTGTGTAAATATTGATCTTATGTGCTTACCTGATTTATGTGATAGTAGGCATTTTCTATGTGCATATGTTGTGTGTTGAGATATCCTGCTTATTGTTGTTGTGATATGTATACTGTGATTAATTGAGTTACCGAGTTGAGGGACCGGAGGGTCCATCTGAGTTGTGGGACCAGAGGGCCCCACTGAGACACATTGACCGGAGGGTCTTATTGTGAGTATAGCCATGAGGGGCTAATGGGATGTGTGTGGTATTTTGGGGAACTCACTAAGCTACGTGCTTACCGTGTTATGTGTTATGTGTTTCAGGTACTTCTCAGGATCACGGGAAGGCGTCGGCTTGATTGTACACATGAGATGGAGTTGTGTTTCGAGGATCCTGGATTTTATTCAAATAATTATGAACACGTGTTTTGATAATTGATATATTGAGATTTTGTGAAATGTGTTGATGTCATTTATGTGAATTTAAAAATGAAAAATTTGTGTGAAAATTTATGGTGTTACAAGTTGGTATCAGAGCCTTGGTTTGAGGGATTCAGATGTGCTCTCGGGTATCTCTGAACTCAAACTGAGGATTTGAGAAAATTTTCTAAAAAAAAGAAATGATTTTTCTAAAACGACTAAGAGTTTTAAAGAGAAAACGAGATAGAGCAGTGTGTACAATCAGCCAGAGCCTGAACTCAAGTTGAATTTTGTTGACTTGTCATTTATGTTTATATTTCATCTAAATGGTAATAGTTAATTAGCATGATGGATAATTAGAATACTTTGGCGATGATTGCTGGAGGCATGGTGTACAACAGTGTGATATGTCTTTTATGGTTTCCAGGAGGACTTGCAAACATTGGGAAGACAGCTGGCCATTAGGTGGTCCTCCATGCAGACTTGGTAGCTCTGTATATCTCCATGGCTGTATTGGTTGCTGGAATGACTGTGGGACCCACATTCGGGAAAAATATGGAGAAGCTTGCAAGGAAAGCCATGTGTATTGCAATTGTTGCTATGGCTATAGCTGCGCACCACATTATTCTTATGGTGGTTGGAAACGACTACTGGTTGAGGCTTTTTGTTAACGGGTCGGGCATTCTGTTCGTGGTTCTCACTTGTGTATCCATCTTCATTCTAAACTCTTAAGTCCGATTGGGGGGAGGTAGAAGTAGAACTTTAAATGGGTCGGGTTGGGGATATTGCACTGATGTTTGTGAATAACAATAACCTACTTTTATCCTATTCATGTTTTAGGAATTTTTGTGGAATTGATATTGATGGTCTAACTTTTGATATTCTTCCATTTTAGTCAATCCAATTACCGAAAAACATGATTGTTTATAAAGTTTGTGGGGACGGGTCGGGTTGGGGACTATGATACTGTTTTTGCTTCCCCACTAGGAACCTAGTTCCTGACTATTTCCCTTGACGTGGGCATCGTCTATAACAATCAATCGTCACAAGCTTCTACGAAACATTTGAATACATATGAGATTGGTTACAAGAGTTATTAAGATAAAAAAAAATTAACACTCTAGATGTCATAATGAAAGTGAATCTTTTTAGACTATCAGTAATACTCTCCACGACAACTGTCGTGGAGAGATTCCACGAGCCACGAACCCACTTCGAGGTACATGCGACGACCGGAAGAGAAGAACGAAGAGAAAGAGAGAGAGAGAGAGAGAGAGAGAGAGAGAGAGAGAGAGAGAGAGAGAGAGAGAAGAAGAAGAAGAACGAAGAGAGAGAGAGAGAGAGAGAGAGAGAGAGAGATGCGTAAGAGTGAATAAAAAATGGATTGGTCGTCCGTCTCCATGCTTGCCACCACAAATCACCACGACCACGAGCCAGCACGAATTGGCGGGATAGTGTGCACAGTCGTGGTCTGTGACCACGTCGACAGACCACGTCGACAACAAACATTTTCGTTGCCGGTATACCGGACGGCCTTATGCAACCAACACCAACAAATAATATAGCTATAACCAATACTTTTCATCCATCTTTATGTGTTATAGCACCCTCTAGACGTAGATATGGAAAACTATGGATTGGATCTGATTAAGATGATGTCATTTGCGATTTGACAATGATCTAATCCGGTTTGAATTTGGTTTTCCCCAAACAGTTTTGGACCGGTTTGATTTAGTTTTTATCGATTTAATCTGGTTTTGGAAAATGCTGCTACCTAAACGCTAACTTATCATCACAATCACACCATATTGAACTAGATATGCCCACCACTTTACACCTTCATTTTCAATTAAAAGAATAAAGAAATTAAAATATTGGATTTCAATTAAATTTAAAACATTACGGGAAAATTCCATAGTAGGGAAAATGTTAAATTAATTTAAATAAAAGAGAAAATTGCATAGTAGGAAAAATATTTACGGTTAAGTTGGAATTGTTTCAACTCCACACCGATGACTTCAAAATCGTTACTTCTATTTGGATGTGTGTTTTTGAGGCCGTTGTAAATGTTGTTGAACTCGGTTATGTTTAACCTCATCGTGCAATTGTAACGAAAGTCCGTCGAGATGTCGATAAACACATTTTCCTATTTTGTTGTGGAAATGGTTTCAAATAAATTGCCATATGGGTTCTCTTCTTTTGAAGGGGTTTTTAGATACCAAAATACAAGCACGGGCTAAAGCAGTTTCTTCTTTTTCCTCCCAAGGTTGTTAGGTTTGGAACATTGATGGTCGTGTAAATTGTTCCATGGTAAGAACTTTGATGGCACCTGGGATGGCGTGCACAACCATGGTGCACCCTCACTGGCCACGAATGTGTCTCGTGACTTGCATACCATACGACCTTATTTGAAATTGGGCTTTAAAGTTGCACTACAAGAAAAATGACATACCCCCATAGTTTTTAAGGCCTAAAAATGTGACCATATCTTACCGTCACATTTATTTATTTTTTTTCGTTAAAAGTGTGAAGCTATTTTGTGACAACTTAGGTATCTTACAGCCACATTGACATTCAACATTTAAGTATGGCTATAACCTACCTTTTAGTCGTATATAAAGTTATCCAAGTTTGTGTTAACCATGGTTAGTTTATATTTGATGTAACTATTGTTTATCCTATAGTCACATTAATTTATGTTAAAGGGTGACGTATGATATCATTTATTCAGATAAAGAAAACTAAGAAAGAAAATAACGTGACTAATTTTTGGTATTAGTGATACATAATTGTTAAAATCATCGTTGAATATTACTTATAACAATATGGCCATTTGTTACCCTTCAGTGACATTCATTTACGGTAAAGTGTGACATATAAAATCATTTAGTGACACAAACAAAACACATAAAGAATAAAATCTGACAAGTGTTTGCTTTTCGTGATACATAATTGTTAAAACCATTATTAAATAGTAGGTATAGCAACACATTTTTCTAAATGATGTGGTTATTTGTTACCCTTTAGTTACACTTATTTACGATAAACTGTGACGTATGATATCATTTAGTCACATAACGATCACTTATAAATAAAAGAATGTGACAATTGTTTGTTTTTAGCGATACATAATTGTTAAAACCATCACTGTATATTAGTTATAGCAACACAGTTTCTAAATGATGTGACTATTTGTTGCCTTAAGCTACATTCTTTTATGTAAAAACGTAACGTATGATATCATTTAGTCACATAAAAAACTTATAAAGAAAAAATGTGACTATTGTTTGCGTTAGGTGATACATGATTGTTACAGCCATCATAATTTTTCTAATTGGTGTGGCTATTTGTTACACTTTAGCCACATTTAATTTTGTGAGCATGATCCTAATTAACATTTGATCACGTTTATGAATGGAAGACGACAATATTAAAATGTTGCAAATACATATTATAGGAGTAAAAAAATAAAAGAAAATAATGTTAATCTTTAATCCAAGTTAAATAGTATACAAAAAATGTTGTAATCAAAATATATCTACCATGTATACAAATCGGAATGAAATATAAGTCACAAAATACAACGAAGATCTTGTTACTGTTTTATCTTGTTAACAATGCTCCTTGTTTTTTATATCTTGAAGCGTCACGAAAAAAAAACATCCATTATCAGCATTTTCCCACATAGAGTAAGACCTAGCTGTCATCCATAGTTTTGAAAGACATCGATGTCTCCCTATGCTAATGATATACAAAAAAAGAAGTTAGAAGAAGGATATATCCTTTTCAAACATGAATAAAAATCTAGAACATGTGAGTCCATCTATGTATCAGTTGTATTGCAAATTAACCAAAAAGTACCATTATTGACATTTTCCCGAATTTGGGATCAAATGGAAACTATTAGTTATAGAAAAGGACCATCTAACTTTTTAGTCTCGATTATATAAACACCAAGGCCTTGAGTTTGACTTTTTATAAGAAGGCATGCAAGAACTTATGCTTTAAATTTGTAAGACTAAGGGGTATGGGTACTATATTCTCACTACAAAAGTGATGCCCTATCAGCGTCACATCATCTTCACTACATCCTTATTACCACACCACTAGCCTTTGGAAACGGTCACCACTTCACATCATTTATACTTTTTTAACATTAGGCTAACTAGAAAACATAATTTTAGACTTAAATAAACATTGTATTAATAAAAAAATTACATTAAAACCCTACATTACAAATTGAAAAAAAACCACTAATATAAGAGAATGAGACTTAGGGGCGTTTTGTGCCAAAAACCAAAATTTACGCATGGGATTCTCTTGAGCGGTATTATCAGTCTTATACTGTGACATCCCTCATTTTCCAGATCCGAAAAAAAACATTTTCTTTACGCTTTCAAAAACCATAACATATTTGTTTGTGGAAAATCCTAGTATAATAAAACATTTTGCGGAAATTATTTTGTTTTATTAAAATATCTTGAGTAAAGATGTTGTTTCAAAATACAAAAACTCTAAAGATGTCATAATCAATACACAACATATGTTACAGCGTAAAGACCTATAGTCCTGAACACTATTGCAGGTTTTGGCTTTAATCACTTAACATCCAATTCAAGTCTCTAGCAGTCTTAACACCACTACCTATGATGAATATAAATGGAGTAGGTCAGGTTGGGAAACCTTGTGAGATACATGGGGTTTTCAATCCCATGATGTTATTATGATAATAATCTATAATCAATAAAACTGCAAAACCAACTGTTATCTAACAAAACAATATAACTATCTATAAGACATTTTACCCTTAGTTACCCATCCCGTCGATCCTCACATATTATTCCTATAACAGTGATCTTATAATATCTATCATGTGGGATCACTATAAATAACGAGTTGACTATACTGCTTCGGGAATTCCTTGGCAACATGCATTAGTCAATAAAGGAAAGTATGGGGGGATAGAGTATACGAATGAACCTACGATCCTTTTTTAATGGATTAGTATGATTCATTTGATGGAAAATGGTGCCAAAGTCCCAACACAGTTAGAATGATTGGTAATATTACTATTAATAGTACGGTCCTTTTAGGTTACACATATGGACAAAAATAAGCAATAAATAACATGGGAAAATTATAGGGACTTGATTTGTTACTTAATTAATAGTATTTAACTAATTAAATGAAATCTAGAAGTTCTGGAGGATAAACGAGGATAATTTAAGCAGTCACATAATTACCATTTATATGGATAATTATTAGGTGACTAGATAATTATCTTTTAGGGTTTTATATCCTTACCTACAAATAGAGAAGCATATAGACGAAATTAGATGATGGGAAATCTCAAAACCCTATAGAAAATTCGGTCCTGCCTTATCTTTCTTGAACCCCTCAAAGTCGCGACGCCACGTCGTGGCGACTTCATTGCCACGACATCGAAACTGCAGTTCCAACATATTTTGATTTTTGGAGCTTCATTCATGGTGTTCGTTGCATGGGTTTTTGTCAGAAGTTGCTGACCCGAGTTCCTTGGGTGCGACTATGAAAGAGGAGTTCGATTTTGGACTCTTAGCTCTCATCAGTTAATCAAGGTTCTATAGGGGTTTCCAAGAACTCTAAAAGGTATGTTTTCTTGCATATTAAAGTTGCATCAGATATGTTGTTTATAGATCCGGTTTTCGGGCTTATTGATGATCAAAAGTTGTTGCTCCCACTGTCCCTTTATTTTTGTTTAAGGATCCTCAAAACTCATTAGTGGTATTAGAGTGGTATGAACACATCTATTGCACTTCAGGTTTTCGTTCTTGTGTGTTTAATTGAGTTTGCATGCTTAGATATGATCTAGTTTCTGAATGTTCAATGTTTTAATTATTTTTATAAATCGAATGAATTTAAATATTGGTGTTCTTAAATCTATTCTATTGCCACAACGTGGTGGATCTTCCTCCATGACGTGGG